TTGTTGATGTCATCTCTCAGATGTAGATCTATTTCCCCTCCTTTGCTTCCTCCTGGGAGATAGACTGAGAGGATGTGACAACTATCCGTGTCATTGATGAAGACTTTGATTCCAATGCATTCCATTAGTTTTGTGTTGTAGCTTGGTTGAAGCTGATGTTTTAGATTTCTTTTGACGATGATTGCAACACCACCCTTTGGTCTATCCACGCGATCCAATCGATGAATTACGTAGTCTGGATGCGAGTCAATTTTTGAGTTTGGTTTTAGGAATGTTTCTGAGATGCAAGCAACATCGACGTTTTGCTTGCTTAGGTAGTCGAGAAATGCTAACATTTTGTCAGTGAGGCCGTTAGCATTCCAGTAGAGGACGTTGATACTTTGTTGTCTACAATCCATTATTGTATGCGGTGTTTTTGGCACTTGAGCCGATTGCTTGGAGTATTTCGTCGATGAACTCTGGATTTTTGGCGATTAATTTGAGAAGCTCGCTGATAAGGTACTTGCACTTTGATTCCTCTATTTCTGAGATGTTTTTATCTCTTGTGCTGGTGCTTTGAGCTTGTTGATTAGTTGTTATGTTTCGATTCACTACCTCAACACTGAATGAAGGTTCTGGGAAGACTTCATTCGAGGTCTGACTTGTTGCACTGATGTCTTCTGAGTCCATAAGCTCAACAACTTGCTTTGGTTTTTGATGTTGATTGTTATTAATGCGCTCGTTTTGCTTTTTTCTTTGATTCTTTTTCCAATGTTTTCCTCTTTCTTTATTGTTTTGTTGGTTGTTCAAGTTATTTTTATTTCCCTGATTTGAGGGTTTGTGATTTGGAGGAGGATTTGTGTTCCTTGGTTTGTGGTTGACTGGAACTTGTTTTTGATGAACAGGCTTTTGTGTACCAGATGTTGATGGTTCCATATACTCCTTTCTCCATTGAGGTTTTGGTGCATGTTGGACGTTTCTGGTTGATCTCTCAGGACGATGCGGTGTTGGAGGATTGTTTCTCCGTTGTCCATATGAATAATGGCCTGCTGTTTTGTTTTGATTTTGGTTGTTTCCATTTTGTGATTTTGATTTCCATTTTTCAATTATTTCTTGTCTGGTTTTACAACCTGTGAAAATTGCTGTATGTTTTTCACCGCAGAAGAAACATTTGAGTTTTCCGAGTGGAACCTTGTTGGTCTCTTTCGATATGTACTGGCACGTTTTCGAGTCATGTTGCTCAGAGCATCTGAAGCAAACGGACGGTTTGTTACAACCGTTTTGTCCATGACCAAACTGCAGACATTTCGAACATTGAGATGGTCCAGCTTGTCTATTTTTGTAGTCAGCCCATTTAATTTTGAAACTGCTGACAATTTTGATTTTTCTGAGGAATTCCAGGAAATTTCCACCTTGTTCTACATCTTTTTTGAAGTACACGAGGTAGTTCTGGTCGTCGTCTTGTTCGTGTCTTTTGTGTTTCATTGTCATTTTGACAATTTTTACTGGTGTGATTTTTACGGTTTGAAGTTCCTTCTCCAACTCACTGATTTCCATATCTGGGAGTCCGTAGAGTACGTACTTCTTCAGTGGTTCTTGGCTGGAGTATGTGTGGAAGTGATGCTTTTTGTCTTTGAGTAGTTGGATGAATTTCTCGTAGTAATCCCAACTCTCCGTTGTTACCGTTTTTGTTCCTTGTTTGCCCTTTTTGGTCTCAATTAAGAAACTTCCAGGTTGATTGTTTATTTCATTCGTCAATCTCTTGATTTCACCAGCTCCTCCTGTGCTGATGACAATTGGAGGTGGTTTTGATTTTTGTTGAGATTTGTTGTTGTTGCTTTCCGTGTTTACGGAAATTGTCTTTTGTTGCTCTGATGTTTTGCTGTTTTCTCCCCAGTACGAAGAAGTTGTCGATCTTTTTTTCTCCTGTTCTGGTGAACCAAATAGATACGGTACTCCAGAAGACGAAGCTTTCTTCACTGGTGGGAGTACGAACAGTGGTTTGTTCCCATCTTTTGGTTTGCTTTCGTTTGCTACTCTTTTTAAAAGAGCGTTGTGAACTATCACTTCTCGAGGGCGTTTTTCTGCTTTACTTGCTTCATTGAGAAACTTCTTTATTGATATTTGTTTTTTTGGTTTGAGATTTGTCATCTCAATGTCGGCTGCTTGTGAAACATCTTCACTGAAAATTTCCTCAATATTGAGAAATGTCACTGAAGATGAATGTTGTTGAGAACTATTAAGTCCATGCTGATTTTGAGAAAAATTTTCTTCGTTGTTGGTAGTTTTTGGTGATGCTACCATTTTGATGTTTTGAGAATCAAACTGAGATTTTGAAACTTTTTGCAAACAAAAAGCTTCTCAGGTAGTCTCTGTTTTGTTTCTTTTGAGATTTTTGAATAATTTGCGGAGCGATTTGTAAACACGTCTGTTCACGTTGAGATCTAGTTTGCAACTGTCACAGTTTAACCAATAGAAAAGAAAATGAGAATTAGATTTTTGAAAAACTATGCACAAGTGAAAATAAAATAATTAAAAAATTTCATGCAATTGACACGGATTATTTTCATGAAACCTTTTCGTAGAATTGCCCTATAATTAATTGAAAGCCCCATACAAATTTAGAGAGAACTTATAAAAGTGATTTCTGCGAGCACTTGTGAAGTAAATGGCAAATGCCAAATTTAGAACAAATATTATTTTCCTGCAAAAAATGTTTTTTTTTTTGATGATTTTTCGTAGGATTTGAACCTAAGCGGGCTCGGTATGGAACACTTTTGTTACATATTTGTAAAACAAACATTTTACATACAATAAATAATGATACTTTTGATCTTCCATCGACGTCGAAGAAAGATTATATGGAACATTTTGGTTACTTGGGATTACAACCTTTTATTGCCAAACACAAATTAGTTTGAAACTGAAATTACCGTTAAAGCTCAAAATATATTTAATAAAATATATACCTTTTTATTATTATTATTATTATTATTATTATTGTGGAAATTGGAGGGGAATAGCGTTGCAGAATTCCATTAGCAAGATCACTGCCCGTATAGTACTGGACAGGATATCTGTCATACAAGACTCTAGTCTGCGCAGGGAACAAGCCGGCTTTCGTCGGGGAAGATCCTGTACAGATCATATCAATACGTTAAGGATAATCTGGGATAATCGTCGAGCAGTATAACGAGTTTAATCGCCCATTGTGTCTGCTCTTCGTGGATTTCAAATCCGCCTTAGACAAAATTGATAGAGAATTGATGTGGCAGATTCTTGCTCGGTATGGCATACCTGCTAAACTCATTGACATCATCAAGGAGCTTTACTGTGATGCAGGCCTTCGGGTTTTGCACCATGGGTTAATAGGCAATGACTTTGAAGTTCAGTCGGGTGTTAAGCAGGGTTGCATTCTATCACCTCTTCTTTTCAACATTGTCCTCGATTACATCATGAGAAGAGTCACCAGGCGTAGGAAAGGTATTCCTTGGAATGTTTTTTCTACTCTTGTGGACTTGGACTATGCGGACGATATCGTTGGCATTACCTAAAACTAAACTCATGCGCATTAACCCATCAAGACATACGAGGGGGTCTATTCAGGCTCTGCATATAGGGAATGAGGTGGTAGAAGAAGTGGACAAGTTTGTCTACTTGGGCAGTATTATTTCTAAGGACGGCGGTGCTGAAGACGACGTCCGTAACCGCATTAGACTGGCCAATGCAGCTTTTGGCTCATTATGACATGTCTGGAACTCCCCCCGACTTTCGAGACGACTGAAGCTGAAGATCTTCAACTCGAACGTCAAGCCTGTACTTCTTTACGCATGCGAGACTTGGAAAGTTACAAAAGCTCTTACACAACGCATTCAAGTTTTCGTCAACAAATGTCTGAGAGCAATATGTGGCATCACCTATCCTCAAACAATAAAGAACACAGAGCTGTATACAACAGAACAAGAAGCTGCAGGAAATAGCAGCTTTGGCCCAGAATCGAGTGCGATTCAAATGCTTTGTGGACGCCCTACGCTTCAAAGTGGAGCAATAGGAACCCATCATCATCATCATGATTATTATTACCACGTTTTTTTATTACCACGTGTTTCTTAACTTGCTTTCTTGTCTTTCTGTTTGTCTTGGTCAAATCTTACGATCAATTTTTCGACCACTTCTACTGCTCCAATCGAGCTGAAATTTTGCGAAAGCACAGCTGATCGATGAAGACTTTCAATGGATAAATTCTAGTTTACAAACTTATGCTGTGCGATAGCTGTGCGATAAGTAAAAATTGTATAGTTCTACATCTTAAAACGTGGGCACATTTATACGAAATTTAAGCTCTTCAAATATACAATATTAATGAATGCGCCTACGTTTTAAGATGTAGAATTATACAATATGGTCGAAGTGAAGTGAATAAATTTGTAATTCTAAATGGTAATGACTTTAGTATGAAACTTTCAAATCAATCTCAAATTTTCAAACCAATAACCTTTGAACCCAATAAAAATGTTATTTTCTACTTTTTAGTCCACGGGTTTAAACGTGGTTTTTTAAAAAGTATTTTTTTATAAAGTATTTAAGCCTAAATTTAAACTTAATACAACCCTAGGTCATTAATTTACAAAATGTTTACGTTTTTGAAAGAAAGCTTAAGGTAAGAAGGAAATGAAACCCATATTTATTTAAAATTTACCGGTATTTTTGAATTTATCAAGTTGAGAAAAATTTCAAGTCGATTTCTCCAGATTAAAATTCTGATTAAAATTCTACAATCGAAATAATGTTTCGATAGGACCTGAACACAAAATGAAGGCAATTACTGCATTATCCAGTTAAATATGATCATATGGTTCAATATGGACGTGAAGGAACTAGCGGAACTGCTCAGTATTGCGGAACTGTAATTTCGATTCTTTTATTTCGATTCTAGAATTTTAATTCACTCCTCCAGTTTCGTTTATTCATAGATTCGCCCTTAAATGAAGAAATTATTCGATATAATAATTGAACCATACTTTTCGCTTTTGTAGCCATTTTTTTCAATTGCATAATTAAAGATTCATTTTCTTCTTCAACTCTAGAAGATCTTTTTCTGAGAGCTTCAGCCTAAAAAAAGAAACAAATAAATAATAGTTTATTAAAAAGATACATCTTGAAAAAATATCCAAATTTGGTCATTACTAAGACAAACAATATTTCATCAGTATCAACATTTTGAAGTTAGATATCACATAGGTAACCATAATCGTCCATATATCATATTCACACCAAATTTTAAATTTGTGCGAATATTTTCAATTTGTGTGTATTATTTGGTAATGTAGGAAAACCACTTTTTTAACTTGCTGCTTCAGGCTTACCGAATCAACCCAAATAGCTGATCTGTAAAAAATATAATAGCTGTGCCTGAAAATACCTATCTAAATGTAAAAACAGAGTCATGGAACATGACTTCGAACGATGAGTTTGCAATTGGCGTCTTCGAGAGGAAGGTTCTGAGAACAATACTTGGACCAAAAAAGAAAGGAAACTGATATTGTGAAGCGGATCAAGGTCAACAGACTACGTTGGGCTGGTCATATTATCAGGAGACCTGAAGAAGCTCCATGTAAAATAATGATCTGAGTAATCAGAGAAAAACAATAAATCAGTTGAATATCTCGAACAAAAACATAAAGACGTGTTTCATTGAAAAATCAAAAATAAAACATGGCGCAGTCGTATTTAAGTATTGAAAAGTTCAATTTTGAAGCTTCGACGTTAGAAATTGAATGGAAACGATTTTCAAAAGAATTCAACTCATATTTGGTAATCAACCAACTTGATGAGAAATCTGACAACATCAATCTCAATTTATTGACACTATTGATGGGATGTAAGTCAGTGGATATCATCAAGAATCTGCCGTTAACAGATCCAGAGAAGCAGAACTATGAAAAAGTGTTTGAGGCTCTCGAGAATCATTTTTCACCGTTATCAAATTTTTTAATTGAACGAATGAAATTACGTGGTCGAATTCAACAAGAAGGCGAATCTGTCGACAAGTTCATTAGTGACGTTCAAACCCAAGCCGATAGCTGTGCATTTAATGAGTTCAAAGAAGAAGCCATTCGTGATCAAATAATTTTCGGTCTGCATAACAACAATTTGCGAGAAAAGCTCATTTTATCTGAAGAAAAGTCATTACGTACGTTGATTAGCAAAATCAAAATTTTCTACTACAATCAACAACAATTGAATCAACTAGCATCAGACAGTGTTAAAGCGAATCAAATAGCAGCAGTTGACCAACGTGTTCTTCACAAACCGACGTCATATAAACGTGAAAGTTCTCAAATTAAGAGCAAAAAATTTGAGAATTCAATAAGCAAAAAGAAGAAGGAGAAGGTCTGTGCAGATGATGAACGCAAAAGCAATGAGTCTAATGTAGTAATCAATTGTGATGAACTAAAAGAACATGCAATAGGCAATGTTTGGAGTAAAAAATTACTCGTGCATGATAAAATGATCAATTTTAAGTTGGATACTGGATCGCAGGTTAATACTTTAAGAATAAATATGTTCAAAAGTTTAGGAAAGAAATTTAAGATTGAGAAAAGTAATTTAAAATTACAAGGATATTTTGGTGAAATCAATCACCCTTTAGGGAAGACGATTCTTCCAATTAATTTCAATAATAATGTTTACCTTGAAGAATTCATAATCATTGATAAACATACGGTACCTTTATTAGGTTTAGAGACATGTGTAAATCTAAAACTTATATCTCGTATAGATTCCTTGCAATTGAATCAAATGTTGTGTTCAGAACAGCAAAAGAATAAGTTTGTAGATTTTTATAAAAAAGCTTTTACAGGTCTAGGCAAGTTTAATAGACCTCTTAAATTGAAATTAAACGATAATGCAATTCCGGTGGCAAATCAGAATCGTCGAATTATATTCAAGTTGAAGAATAAGCTTCAGAATAAATTAAATGAAATGGAAAAGATAGGAATTATTTCACGTGTCAATGAACAACGTGAATGGATTAATAGTATAGTAATTGTTGAAAAAGGAGACAAAATTAGAATTTGTATTGATCCAAAACATTTGAATCAAGCATTAAATAAGTTTCATTTTCCGATTCCATCCCTTGATGAATTAAAGCAAGATTTGAAAGATTCTCAATACTTTACGGTTTTAGACCTCAAGGATGGTTTTTGGCACATAGAGTTGGACGAAGAATCCAAAAAATTGTGCACGTTTAGTTCTCCTTTTGGCTTGTGGCAATTTAATAGAATGCCTTTTGGTATAAACATTGCATCAGAAATCTTTCAAAAGTACATGACGGATACTTTTGGCGATTTACCTGGAGTCAAATTTTATATTGACGATATTATTGTTACTGGTAAAACGCTCAGAGAACATGATGAGAATTTAGGAAGATTAATGGTCAGGGCATTAAAGTCTGGTGTGAAATTCAATCAGAAGAAATTACAATTCACACAAAGTTCAGTAAAATTCTTTGGCCATATCTTTTCTAAGAATAAAGTAGATGTTGATCCAGAAAGGATTTCAGCAATTAATAGTATTCCAAATCTTAAAAATCTGGAAGACGTACAAAAGTTTTTAGGAATAGTTAATTATATAAGGGACTTCATTCCCAATTTACCTTCTTTAACAGTCAATATAAGTAATTTATTAAAGAAGGATAGTGAATTTTTATGGCTTGATAATCATCAAGCTGAGTTTGACAGCATTAAAGAAGTAATAAAAAACGTCACCTCATGTACTACATTTGATGAAAATATGCCAATAATTTTAGAAACCGATGCCTCGTCATACGGTTTAGGTGCATGTTTAAAACAAGGAGATAAAATTATTAGCTTTGCTTCACGTTGTCTTTCTGAAACAGAAAAGGAGTACGGTCAGATTGAAAAAGAATTTTTAGCCGTTTTCTTTGCGTGCAAAAAGTTTCACAATTATATTTATGGTAGGAAAGTTACTATAATATCTGACCATCGTCCTTTAGAAAGCATAATTAATAAAGATATTAGTAAGATAGGATTAAAGTTACACAAATATGATTTAGATTTGAAGTACAAGCCCGGTAAAAGCATTCCTGTAGCAGATTACTTATCTCGATACGTTTCAAATAATTTGATAGCTGTAGATTTTGAAGAGAATTTCATGAAACAAATGATTCATTCAGTGAATATTAGTGAAAATCTACCAAGCTGAGACAGATAAAGATAAAGAATGCTCGTTGTTAAAGAAATACTTTGCTGAGGGCTGGCCGTCAGACAAATCAAAAGTACCTGATGAAATAAAATTCTTTTATGATTTGCGAAATGAAATTTATGTTTCGGATGATTTAGTATTTTATCAGGATAGAATAATAGTTCCCAAATCATTGAGAGAAAATTTTCTTAAAGATCTTCATGAAGGTCACATGGGAATTACTAAAACAGTACGTTTCGCGAAAGAATCAGTTTATTGGCCTTCACTAAATGTTAGTATAGAGAATTTAATTAAGAGTTGCGAAGAGTGCAACAAGTTTCAGAAATCGAATAGAAAGGAACCAATAATTCAACACGAGATTCCTTTTTGATCGGATGTGGAAGTCGGATGTGACATCCTTGAATACAGTGGAAAGAGTTATCTTGTTGTTATTGATTACTTTTCAAAATGGATTTCGTGTAAATATTTAAGTTCGAAGAATTCGAACGCTGTGATTTCTAAATACATTGAGATTTTTACAGAACACGGCTTTCCAAAGACTATTATTGCAGACAACATGCCGTTTAATTCATATGAATGTAGAAGTTTTGCCCATGAGTGGGATATTAAAATAGTCACTTCAAGTCCTCGTTATGCACAGTCGACTGGTCTTGCAGAGAAAGCTGCAGGAATAGTTAAAAATATGATGAAGAAATGCGATAATTTCAATAAAGTTTTAATAGCAATTTATAATTACAATAACATTCCGTTAACGGATATTGACTTGTCTCCAAGTCAATTGCTTTATAATAGAAGAATGAGAACTAAAATTATTATGAAAGATAGCTTGCTTGAACCAAAGTTAAATCACAAATTAGGTGAAAAATTCGAAAAGAAGCAAACTAAAACCAAAGTTTATTACAATCGAAATTTATATAAACGTAATGAGTTCGATTTAAATCAGAAGGTGTGGGTACAATTGCCTGATAACACTTGGTCTAAAGGATCAATCGTTAAGAAATGTTCAGAGCCTAGATCATATGAGATTTGTATGGATAATAATAGGGTTATTAGACGAAATTCTAAATTCATTCGACCTGATAGGTCAACAGTATCCAATCAAATTGATCAAAAGAAATGCAATGAGTCTAGTCGATACAGAATCAATCTCGATAACTTCTTCGCTGACAACTCACTGCATGAACCTCCTCTGAATTCTAATGCAAATGCCGCATCTCCCGTTCATCACCAACCAACTGCAACCTCAACAGAGAGTAATTCGAACCAACAACCGTTCCGACGATCATCAAGAATTCCTAAACCAGTACAAAGATATGGGAATTGATAAGAGAAGGGAAAATCTTTAAATCTCATTTTGTAGACGGAAAAAGAATGCGCGGACGACCAGAGAATTCCTGGAAGGAAGCTGTTGACAGAGATAGCATAGCATTTGGTATTGGAGATTGGCAGAGATGAGCCAACGACAGAGTCTTTTTCAGACGCAAACTAAGCGAGGCTATGGATCACAATTGATCTGTAAAGCCAGCGATGTATGTATGTATGTAATTGTAAAAACCGCATCTCATTCGTGCTCTCAATGCCGAGAAATCGCAAAGAAAAAACTTTCTGTTATTTAGCACAACTCGCTTTAAACTCAATATTAAGACTTCTGCTTTTTTTCCATATGGTAGATTGGGAATGGCAAGAACTGTATTGTTTTTGGAATTATTAGATGCTTCCAGTAAGGCACAAGATGCAAAAAACCATAATTTTTTGGGGGCAAATTATAGCCTAATATTGCATAACACATTTTATTTTATTTAAGCAATAGAAAATATTTGTTGGTAGTAGTTTGATATTGCTGAAATGTTAGTGCACACTTGAGACATGACTAAAACTTTTCTGGATCTTAGTTTTTTATTTGAGTCAAGATTAAAACTTTACTGGATCTTGGTTCTAAGTTTCATGCATGATTTAAACTTTACTAGATCTTAGCTTTTTGGTCGAGACATGACTAAAACTTTTCTGGATCTTAGTTTTTTATTTGAGACAAGATTAAAACTTTACTGGATCTTGGTTCTAAGTTTCATGCATGATTTAAACTTTACTAGATCTTAGTTTTTTATTTGAGACATAATTAATTCTAAGTGTTCTAAGTTTAAGACATGATTAAAACTTTACTGGTAGAACCAGGTTGAGAAAGTTACAATTTTTACGTCCTATCTAATTTATAAACAGCTGAACTAAACGGAGTAAAACGAAAGAATCTAGTACGATCTAGATAATTTGAATACATATATGCTCTAAAAAATATTCAAACGTAATCCTGATATATATACATATTTGAATAGTTTTTTTTTCGATGCTAAGGATGTTTTCGGTTTGATGGTTGGTTTGTCTCCAAACTATTGAGGCTGTTCGCTACGTTGAAGTCTGATCTACATAAAAAATTGGCGAAAGTCCTCGTGTTATATATCGAGGGACATCAGAGCATTTTTGTGTTAGCGATCAGTATTTGATTATCTATTTATTTTGCGTTCATTTAAAGATCATTAGAAGATTAGAAGATCATTAATTTTAGTGTAATTAACAAATAATTACAATGAATGCTTATATAGAAAGGCTTTATTATTTAATGTTTTTTTGCCTGTGTGAAGTACGCTGGTCCAAGTTCGAATTTCGAGCTGAAACTTGGCTTGTTTATCAACACTTTTGCGACAATTTTCGACATCTATTTAGTTTATTTCGACACCCTTTAGTTGTCGAGATTTCAATGGTTGAATTTACGCCAAAAAGCCCGGTGTACTTCACATTTTCTACCGGGTTCATTTCTTAAAATAAACTTTATTGCGAATGTTATATATATCAAATTGATAGTACTTTTTTCGACACTTTTCGACACGCAAACCGTTTTTAGATTTGATTGTTCCTTGTTAAGTAACGGTCAACATATATTTGAAAATTTGTAACGTTTTAATGCACTAGAAAACCATTAATTGTAGTATAATTAAGAATTCATTGCAATGAGTTTTTCGATTTGTTATTTAGCGGTTATTTTTCCTCCAAAAGTTGTTTGAATTGTGCTGAGAAACAAAAAATGATTAATTATAGTATTTAACGATGGTTTTGAGCTTTCAAACTGTTCGATGCGCCAATAACTCGATAGAACCAAGCTAACGCCAAAAACCAGAACTCTATACGATGTCTAGATGAAAAGTTTTTGCAAGCAGCCGAACAAATCGTATCATTAAGCTTCCTTTTTGAAACAAGTTTCAAAAATGCGCTCAAAACTGACTGAGAGCAGTGATGTAAGTGAAAAAAGTTGAAAAACTATTAATACTGTAAGCTATGTTGAAGTCTGATCTGTATAAGAGACTTACTGCGGTACAGCAACTGGAGCGAAACGGAAGTTGGGCAATTCCATGAGTGAAAAAATGCAAGTAAAATTCTTTTTGATCAAAATACTCTTAAAATAACACCTTTTTCCGTTCTTTTAAAAATTTATAATTAGAAATAACTCAAGATATTCATTTTAAAATAGGTAATTAAACGTTTAAAGGTCTATTTACTGAAATAATTCAGTTTTTTCATCGTTAATCGGTTAAGTTTACGAAAATTTTGCTTCTAGTATCCTTAAAAAAGTCTTCAAATATCCATTTTTTGTGCTCAAGTATATTTTTAAGCCATAGATATTCACTTTTTCTACTTATTTGTACCCTTTTTCTGTTCTTAAATGCTTTATTCACAGAGAAAATTAAAAAATACTGCGTTAATCGGTTAAGTTTTCAGCGCTTTATCCAAAACCAACAATAAACAGAATATTTGAATTTTGAATTTCCGTTAAATTTATTTATTGCTAAGAATAATTTCTCTTTGAAAAATAACATTTTATTGGGTTAATAATGAATTTAATGTGTTTTTTTTTCATGTTAACATCATGATTTTGTGTAATAATCGTAATAATAATCAAGGCAATGAAAATTAGTTTGAATCTTTTGAAAATTTATAACGGTAAAAAAAAATTCAAATTCCTACAAGTAGAAAAATATTACAACTTGCTTTTTCTCAGTTCCCTTTACTCGTGGAATTGCCCAGTTGCAAAACTATCAAAGACTGTAACATGGTTGTAAAACGTATTTTTCAGACATGATTTTATTTGTTGGTAATGCAACAAAATGTTTATATTAAGTTTTCAATTTTACTGAAAGAAGATCGTTTAATATTTTCTGAACAATACATAGAGAATTCTAAAGGATGGTGTGAATATTCTCATGAAGTGTGATCGGCTATTCCTACCGTTAAAATTATACCAAAAATCATACATTGTGAAGGACAATACTCTTGTTTTATGAGTAATTCCATGAGAAAATTTTATAGCAAAATAAAAATGTAAATTTGAAAATTCTATATGGGTAATTCCATGCTATAATTTTGCTATAAAATTTACTTAAAATTGATTTTTTTCATATTTAGGCTTTACAAAAGTTAATAAGATTTCCACAGGACATGTTAAAAACCATAAGGTATGTTATTTGACATTAAAATGTCATCTAAAGTGATTATTAAGTCCAAAAAATTATATTTTATAGCGTTACTTGGTAACATTTATAGCGTTACCAAGTAACGCTCATGGAATCAATTTTTTGGACAAATTAACCACTTTAGATAGAAAATTAATGTCAAATCATATACCATATGACTTTTTACATGCACTGTGAAAATCTTATTCGGCCTGTTTCACTAAAGTGGATTATCTTCGATTTCGGATTATCCACTTCAGTTTTTTGTAAATATCTTAAACTTTATGGGAGGTTGGGTATTTCTTATTTTGGATTATAATAGAGTGAAGTATGCCTGAAATTTCTGTATACTTTAAACTTTTACTTTTCGTTAAGAACTATCAATTATTCAATTTCCTAGCCAAATCTAGTAGATTAACTTCAATATTTGCTATAATTCTCAAACTAGTGAAGATATAAAAATTCTAAGTTTATGTTAATTTAAGTAGCAAAATACTCTAACTAGATCACACATTAGATCTCTTAATAACCTTAAGCATCTGGAGATATTTCCCAAAAACTGAAGTGGATAATCCGAAATCGAGGATAATCCACTTTAGTGAAACAGGCCGATTAACTTTTGTAAAGCCTAAATATGAGAAAAATCAATTTTAAGTAAATTTTTTACAAAAATTTCTCATGGAATTACCCATATATAGTCATACGGTAATTATTTTGTGTGAAGACATATATACATATTGCATTGATCTTCCATTGAACTGTTTTTGGCTATGTGGGATTAGTTAGAAACTTAAATAAAGTGTTAGTAATAAGAATTGTATTTGTTTCTAAAACAATTATTTAAAATCAAAAACTGGTAAAAACTTACTTCTTCTTCTGCAAACTTTAACTGTTCCCTTAAATCAGCTTCTCTTTCAGCAGAGTCTTGTAAATCCCTTAAGAGTTGTATTGGATCTTCTTGGCTTCCACCACGAGTTAATGATTCTCTTGAAAATTTACTTCCACTATCTAAATTCGATTTTACAATTTTGCTCAAATGCTGTGGTTTTTTATTATTAAGCTGTTCTGTTTCAATTTGATGTTTTCTTGCATTATCATTTGCTATTTTAAGTTCTTCTTCTAAATGTTTTATTTTTAACGCCATTTCCGAGTTTGTTAGACTTCCTTTTGTTTGTATTTCGTTTTCAAGTTGCTCGATTTTACGTTCTGATTTTTTTAATTTAAAAGAGAGTATTCGACAGTTTTTCGTTGTTTGTTCTAACTCTTTTTTAACAGTTACATACTCATCAGCTTGCTCTTCTCTAAAATTATCTTGTAATTCATCCATTTCTGATTCCATATTTTTCAGTTCTCGTTTCATATCCTCATTTTCATCCATCAATGCGTCGCACATTCTTTCTGCTTGTTCTAATTTATTTCTTAATGTCTCTTCGACTGTTTTTGATTGATGATTAAACTTTTCAAATACTTCTTTTAATTTGCAATTTAGCTCTTTTTTATCGTCCTGTAGTACTTCAATTTGTTGTTTCATTTCATTGACTTTCTGTTGCAATTTAAATGCTTCTGTTGCTGCTGATCTGTTTGAAGTTGTATCAATAGATGCAAGACGTCGTAAAAGAATATCAGATTTTTCTCTTTCTGCTCTCTCGCATCTCGTTTTTACTTTTTCTAATTCAAATTTCAGAAAATGATTTTCTTCTTTTAATTCACTGTTTTTTTCATCTATTACTGTTTCTTTTATACGAAAACTAGAATCATCAACGAGCTTCAGAGATGAACTGAGTTTCATACTATTTTCTTTTTCTTTGACTAATAATTGAACATCTTTTTTAGGATTGGCACAGGAATCAGATAATGTTTTTGCAAGAGCCATTTGTTTTTTTGGTGCCGGTCGCGTAGGCAGATTTGGAGGTAGATTTGGTCGTGGGAGCTTTTCATTGTAGTTATGTTTTATTAGGCTTACATTTTTGTTCGGATAAAAATTATCAGAAACTTTTTCATTGCTGAAAAATAATCAAAACAATTTTAAATTGAAGCATTCATTAGTAAAGTACATTAAAAATCAATCTTAAAGATTTTGTATTTATCCGTACCAATCCTATTACAAGATGTGTGGATTCTTAACATAAAGATGCAAATCACATCTATATGTAACGTATTTTTGAGCTTCAAACTTTTAACGGATCTTTCAAATTTAAACTCATTGAACGTAATGCATATGTTATGCAAAAATACGTCAAGCCGTTAATAAATGGAATAAATTATTTAAATTTTTTTGAAATATAATGTATTAATTTAGTACATTAAAACAGCATAAATTTATGCTCAAACTATGTGTTATAAATGCAGATTTGCATATTAATAGTTGCTTTGTATTAATTTGTAACTGGCTTGAGCTTAATGGTTTTTTCACAATTCAAATTTTCACTTGGAATATCCATGAGAAGGTTTACTTATGGGCGATTCTACGAATGATTTTTTCTACAAATTTGTCTCCAAATCTATATTTCTCTTTATCAATTGCATTACTCCCCATGTTTCATGTATTTAATAGTAGATTTTACCGATATCAACATAATTTTCTCACCCAAACATATTAAAAATGGTTAATTAAAGAATTATTTACATTCTACGAAAAATTACTCTGTTTCACATGAATTTTTTCGCCCAAATTTCCAAAATGTTTTCATTAATATCTTTAAGGTGGTAAAATTTCCAGTAATACTAAGTATACAAAATATATCAAAATCATATTTGTGGAAGCCTTAATTATGCTGCAATTTGGATTGTACGAAAAATTTCATAAGTGCAACAGAGTAATTTGGAGACAATTCCAAAAAAAACTACCAAATATTAAAATTAAAACCATGAATTTCTCAATCCATAGCTAAGTAATTTGAGTGCAGATGTAATCATAATTCACAGTTTAACCAATAGAAAAGAAAATGAGAATTAGATTTTTGAAAAACTATGCACAAGTGAAAATAAAATAATTAAAAAATTTCATGCAATTGACACGGATTATTTTCATGAAACCTTTTCGTAGAATTGCCCTTATCAATTATTTTTGTCTTATAAGAATACTTTTAACTAAGTACTCAAATTTATAGCATAATTAATAATTGCGCAATTCTCTATAGGGGAAATCAAAAATTGTCAACTTGATATTATTTTTGACCGATTTTTCTACTAAAAGATGTTAGGTTTACAGGTCTTCTGTTTTTTTTTTCATTATCTATCTGTTGACTTATAATAACAACCAATAATTAGTTTAATTCTCGAGATATTTTGATTCTTCGATAAAATGCTTCGTGACCGAAAATAGAATTTTGTAAAAAAAAATTACAGAAGTCCTCGTGTTATTAATCGAGGGACTTCAGCGCATTTTTGACGAAGCGATCAGTATTTGATTATCTTATTATTTTGCGTTCATTTACAGATCATTAGAAGATAAGAAGATCATTAATTTTAGTTTAATTAATAAAAAATTATAATGAGTGCTTATAAAAAAAGGCTTTATTATTTAACGGTCAATAAATATTTTGAAATTTTTTCGTTAAAAGTTGCTCTACAAAAACAATAGCTGAATTTTCATATAGCAAGGGTTTATTATTAAACGTTTTTTTAGAATTCAAATTTTCTAACGGTCAGTAAATAATCCCACTAAAAGTTGCACTACGAAAAAATCAATTATAGTATAGTTAAATAATTTGTTCCAATGAATTTCCATACAAAAAAAGTTTATCATTTAACGGTTTTTTGAAATTCAAATTTTACAACGGTTAGAAAAAATTTGAAATTATAGAGGTAATGTTGAAATTATAGAGGTAATGTTGAAATTATAGAGGTAAAATAAAATTTGAGCATTTTACACTGTTTCAAGACTTTTAACTGTTCGATCGGACAATTAACAATAGTAACGGAGCTAATAAAATAAACCTGAGTTATCTACGATGTCTGGTTAAAAAGTTTTTATGCTTACCCAGCCGAGCAAACGAACGAACGAACAAAGTGCATTGGGTAATTCCATGAGTAAACAAAACTTGAAAAATTGACTTACAATTTTTCTCAACTTGTTATTTTCACATTTACTTTGACCGTTATAACATAATCGAAATTATTCTTGTGAAATAAATAGTTTATCGGAAAGTGTTTTAACAAGAAATTCGTATTAATATCTGTCATTAATCATTTTAAATAATAAATAACGTGAATAAAAGTCTAAAACATGTTAAATACAGTGAAACAATTAACGGTCTAAAAAGATTTGAATATTTTTATCTCACGTGCGTTTTGTAATAATCGGTTGAAAATTAACCGTTTGACGCAGTTTTTCTCAGTTTTCTCGTTAATTACAGCATATTATTAAGTAGAACTCACATCTATTTGAAGATAATTTAATTTAGAATTACTCAAATTACTCAATCACTGGCTAAATCATGTATATGAAGAGAATTTTCATGAACAAATTTCACATTTTCTGAAGATTTAACCGTTTGACAACAGTTTTATTAAAATAATTAATTATAGACATGTTTATGCTGTTAAGTTTTAATTGTCATAAAATCACTTCATATTAAGCTATAAGATAAGCTTATCAAATCGAGTTAAATGTTTTTAATTAAAGAGAATAACACTTTTAAATTTTTTTTTTCTCGATTTTCCCACTCATGGAATTACCCATTATTAAGCTGTCTTTTCGAAAATAAGTTTTCAAAAATGCGCTAAAAATTGAAAAAGGAATCATTATTTATTTATTAAATTCTTAAGTTTGCATCATGAAATGCATATCAAATGGCAGAGCATTATCAGTTCTATAATACTTAAGCTTCAAATCTAAGAAAAACAGTTTAATTAAGGAAAAAAATCGATTCTCCGAACGTCAACTTTATGTCACGGAGAATTTTTTTGAGCTTTTATTTTACCGATCCTTAAAAAATTACCAGAAGAACGAATCAAAAAAATTTAAATACTACTATTATCTTTGATTATTATGTAAATCTATTAATTGAACTAAATAGAGCAATTATTTTTGTTGATTTAAGACTGTTTTGATATTTAAAATCAAACGTATTTAAAAAATATTAACGAAAATATTTTTATCATTTAAAGTTTAAATTTTAAACACAAATAACCTTGGATTAAAAAACCTTATTTTTCGAAATTCCACAATTCTGGAGAATCGTCCAATTAGTAATATTAATTATTTTTCTCCAAAATAAAAAAGTATTTTCAAAATTGTACCTATTTAAATTTAACATTTTTGTGGTTCCAAAGTGCTATTTTTTTGGTTCATAAGTGCTTGAATATTGTAATATCATCGGAAATACGTTCGAGTGAAAAATTTTAAGCTCGATTAGAGCAGTAAAAGTGGTCGAAAAATCGATTACAAGATTTGCCCTCGACAATAAATCTTTATTTAAATTTAAGTTTGTACAAAGTTTCTAAACATTTTGTTGCTTTTGGTTTTTAAGGTTTCAGACATTCTATTTGCCTTTTGCAGCCTTTTGTTACTTAATTTTTGATTTAGTTTTCGGATTTTGCTTTATTTGATTTATTCGTTGTTTTGAGACGCAAGATGACTATTGAAGTTAGCTTGCAGCTTTTCGACGTAGTATTCGACGGACGGTATTTTCGCTTCTGTGTGAAGATCGGTGATCCTTTCATATCTTGTTTTATTGAGAACAATTCTCAAGAATTTGTTTTGCAGTACTTGAAGTTTTTGAAGGTGGGTTTTTGCCATGCTTTCAAATGATGGACAACCATATGTGAATATTGGTCTGATGGCTAGCTTGTAGATGAGAAGTTTGTTTCGTACGTCGAGTTGTGAGTTCCTGCTGATAAGCGGATAAAGCTGTCTTAATGCGGTGTGAGCCCTATTGATCACATACTCCACATGCGGCTTTAATGTCACTCTCTTGTTCACCATTCGCAGATATTTAGCTTCTTGAGTCTTCTGTTTGTTGAGGTTGATCTTCCATTTGTTCATGTATTGTTGATATTTTCTTCCTGTGTGCTGTAGATGTGTCACAATATCGCACTCATAAAAAAAATTTAACATTTTTCATTGTTATTTCGTTGTAAACCAGATTTAACAATGACATTGTTAAATTTATATGACGAAAAAAAAAGTTAACAATTTCATCGTTAAAATTATTTTTACAATCAATTAACGATAAGATTGTAACGTAACGATGGTGATTGTTAATTTTACTATGGTCATCGTTAATATTAAATTTTAAATAATTTAACTTTACTTTAGTTTTGAAAAATCATAATCAAATAAAAATTCAGTATGAAAAGTGAGTTTTATTTCTGTGTACTTAAGAATTATAAAAATTTAAAAAAGTTGATTTTTTATTAAAAAATGTTGTACTTGAATTAATATTCGTTAATTAAATTATTTTTCAATACTTTCTATTGATGTTTGACAAAAATTATAATTAAAATCTTATTCATTTTCACTATCTTTAAAATTTACCTTTTCATTTAAATAATTATTTTGTCACTTTCAAATAAGATAAAAAATTAAGAAATGCGATTACGATTAAACAGGCGACAATGGAAGTAAAGCAACAAAATTTCATTTCTTTTTTGGATGGGTGACCATTTTTTCTTCGAAATTTTTTTTTAACAATATGATTGTTAAATTTTACAATTTCATTGTTGACAAAAATTTTTACAATGGTCAATGTTAAATTTAACAATTTCATGGTCAACGCTATTTTAATCATGACATTGTTAAAATTTTCATACAAAGTAACAATGCATTGTTAATTTTTTTTATGAGTGCGGCCGAGTGAATGCACTGCGAATTTGATTCTGAGTCCATAAGCTCAACATCTTGCTTTGGTTTTTGATGTTGATTGTTGTTATTAATGCGCTCGTTTTGCTTTTTTCTTTGCTTCTTTTTCCAATTTTTTCCCCTTTCTTTATTGTTTTGTTGGTTGTTCAAATTAATTTAATTTCCGTTTGAGGGTTTGTGTTTTGGATGAGGATTTGTGTTCCTTGGTTTGTGGTTGACTTGAACTTGTTTTTGATGAACAGGCTTTTGTGTACCAGATGCTGATGGTTCCACATTATTCTTTCTCCATTGAGGTTTTGGTGCATGTTGGACGTTTCTGGTTGATCGCTCAGGACGATGCGGTGTTAGAGGATTGTTTCTCCGTTGTCCAAGTTGTCCATATGAATAATGGCCTGCTGTTTTGTTTTGATTTCGGTTGTTTCCATTCTGTGATTTTGATTTCCACTTTTCTATTATTTCTTGTCTGGTTTTACAACCTGTGAAAAATGCTGTATGTTTTTCACCGCAGAAGAAACATTTGAGTTTTCCGAGTGGAACCTTTTTGGTATCTTTCGATATGTACTGGCACGTTTTCGAGTCATGTTGCTCAGAGCATCTGAAGCAAACGGACGGTTTGTTACAACCGTTTTGTCCATGACCAAACTGCAGACATTTCGAACATTGAGATGGTCCAGCTTGTCTATTTTTGTAGTCAGCCCATTTAATTTTGAAACTGCTGACTATTTTGATTTTTCTGAGGAATTCCAGGAAGTTTCCACCTTGTCGTACATCTTTTTTGAAGTAAACGAGGTAGTTCTGGTCGTCGTCTTGTTCGTGTCTTTTGTGTTTCATTGTCATTTTGACAATTTTTACTGGTGTGATTTTTACGCTTTGAAGATCCTTCTCCAACTAGTTACGAAGCTCGGTTCGTGTGCTGGGTGTAGTTTTGAGGTCTTTGGCACAGAATATGCCTCCTTTGCTAGGTATCCATCAATCCATCTTGCGCACATGAATTGTTGATTGATTGATTGATTAATGTTTATTCGCCCTCTCGGGTAGTTTACAAATAAAAGTAATTATTAAAAGCTTAATAAGAAAAAAAAGAGAGAAAAATAAAAGTTCATGATCGAGAATATTAATGTCCAATAAGTGTTACACTTTAAAGTGTTTAGGATGATGTTTAAGTAATGTACGTACACGCACAATATACGTAAGTACAAGTTTTTTTTAAAATAAAAATATCCAAATAATAATATCGTTAACAAAATTTTTGAATTATCGCATCATATTTTTTCGCATCTTAAGATAGTGCTGATGATTTAAACAGATTGTTGACATCTAGTTTACTGCCCCTCAAGAATATCAGTTTGTTTTCTATAAGAAAACTTTTTAACTTGCATTTAAATAGGTTGTATCTATTAATTTCTCTTATTTTCACAGGCAGTTGATTGTAGACTTTTGGCCCCAAGCATGCAAGGTCGTTGGCAAGAACGCTTCCTCTAAATCTTGTGAATTTCAGCTGGCCCTTTCGAAGTCCTTCATTAATAACTTCAAAATCCTCAGCAGACGTTAGGACATATTTCTTAGTCAATAAAAGTAGGTTGAAACAGACTATTCCAATTACAGGCAGTACATTAACCGCTACTTCAACAAATAACGTTTATCAACACCAAAAACACCAAACACTTGTTACTAGGTTGATTGCAGGGTACATCAGGTCTTAGGACGTACTCGTGTCTTTGCAATGTGCAGAGCTTGCAAGTGGTTCGGATCCCACTATAAAGTGTAGGTCTAAAGGGTGTGGTACAATAGATTCTGTTCTAATTTGAATCGCAGTGCCTCCAACTGAAAGGCTGGGCCCTTCACACATTATATATTATGGTTACACATGCTCCTTTCTCCATTGAGGTTTTGGTGAATGTTGTAAGTAGTTTTTGGTAAGTCTACCATGTCCATGTTTTGAGAATCAAACTGAGATTTTGAAACTTTTTGTAACAAAAAGTTTCATAGGTAGTCTCTGTTTTGTTTCCCTTAAATTTTTTTGAATAATTTGCGGAGCGATTTGTAAACACGTCTGTTCCCGTTGAGATCTAGTTTGCAACTGCCTCGACCATCAATCAATCAAACAGATAAGAAATTCAGTTTGGAGAGCTGAATATAGCTCATTTTAATATTTTGAGCATAGTTAAAAAAAAAATACAAAATCGTGGTGAAGCTGACGATGAATTCATTTTCGACTAGCCCCAGAACAATTTTTTTACCTTTCTAATGATAAACTTTCTTTATTCGAAGATATTTCACGTTCTAAACTCCCTTGCCTTTTTATCAACTGCATTTTTCTAACTCTTTCAGCTAATGAATCAGTCTTATTGATTGTTATCACCTCTTCATTATTATCAATAGATTTTTGCGGAATAGTTTTTATCGTTAATTTTTGTTGTATACCAGATGATAAAGATGATGGTCGCTTTATTGTGAAGGATTCTTCAACACTTTCTAAATTTGCAGTGTTATGTCGTCTAACAGGAATTTGCACGTTTACAATGATTTCTTCATTAGTTGATGTTGACGATTTTGAATTTTTTTGTGAATCGTCTAAATCGGGAGTTGATGACCAAGAACTAGGCCTTTGTCGTATTTTTAATGGTGCAATCACTTCAATAATATTATTTTCCACTTGTGAAGTTAAATTAGATGTTGACGTCCAGCTACGTATAGTTTTTTCAAAAGAATCTTTATTGAGACTTGGAGTAGAAGATGCTAGAATTGTTTTATTGTTTAGTATATTTAATTTTTATATTTCCAGAACAAAACAGAATTATTGCACTCACCTATTTCGTCTCCACGTCTTGATCCGTGTTCTTTATAATCTCGAAAGCAGCGTTTGCATCTTGTTGGCCACCTCACTTGAGGATGAAATCCTAGCGGACATAATTGGTCACCACTCTTAGATACAGAATACAAGTGGCTCATTTTTTTCGATTTAAAATGAAATCTAAATTTATTACTGTTTCTTTTTATATTCACACCGTATTCACATGAGGATATTTTTTACGTTCTATTTATGCATTGTCCTTTCGCTTACGTTTAGAAACTAAAAGTTTTGGATTTTATTTAAATTGTTAATTAATAATTATAAAGAAAATTACTTTTTTTTATTCACTTACTAGATCAAGCTTGATGGGGAAACAAAAAGAATTAAAAAGGCAAAATTGAACTCTTTCCCGGTTTAACGAGGTTGCTAATGATGGCTTCAATAAATATAGTTACTTGTTAATAATATAGGAACGACGAAACCAAAATTATTTGAAATTATTGAAAACTACTTCAAAGTCAACATCAATGAAATGTGAAACATTAATATATTACTTGCGTAACAATAAATATATGAACATATGAACTGTTTTAAATAAACCCTGTAGCTAAAAATAAATTTTCACTTTTCTTTTGAACGCGAATATATTTTGATTATTATATTAAATAATGCAATTAAAAGGTAGCAAGGTTTATGATCTTTATAAAAAATAATTTACATAGTTTTTTTTAAAAAAAAAATCACTTTTTATGCATGGAAAATCTATTAAAAATTCCTATGTCTAATTTTAGACAGACTTTAATTTCTTTAATATGCATACACACTTTTGGTACTATACGTTCAAAACCCGCACAGAGACTGAATTTGAGAACCGCTCGAAAATCATTTGAGATAAAATTCTCTAAGTTTTCTTTCTTCAGGGTCGATCATTTTCTTCGGGTGCTTTCGTATACATTCGTTTTTGAAATGAAACATTAAATCAAAACACGTGTTGAACAAATACATTGTTTAATTAATGAGTTAACAAGACTGAATGTTAAGATACAAAAAGCCGTTATTTGTGATTTTAAAGATACCTCCAGTTTAAGGTTTTTCGATGCGGTTTTCGGATTATAATATTTGTATTGTGTTTGCCAAGAGCTGGCCAAAAAATCAGAATGATTGAACCACAGGAAGGTTAATTAAATTAACTTTTTCTAAAATTTCACCTTGCGTTTTACGTACGCATATTTTACGCAGCCCTTAAAAATGTGACTTTTTTACAATCCTCAAGCCGCTGGTTCAAGCCTTACAACGAGCACCTTTTTTTCATTCTTTTTTACATTTTTTTGATAGATAATGATGTTTTATGGTGAAATTTTCCATTTTCAAATTTTTCCATGCATTTTCTGAGTTTTTCACAGAGTTTTATTATTTTTTCATTTTTCATACAAATTTAACATTTTGTCGTAACGTTTGCATCTTTTGTCTATTTGAGCTGCAATTTGGCAGTGAGGTTCAGTAGTTGTTCCTGAATTTGGAACCAACGCCATTTTATAATTTCAGGGGTTGGAAACTTATGCAAAATTTATTTTTGCCATAACTTTGAACTTTTTTGACTTTTTTAGTTGAGTTTTGCTAGTAGACACAGTGACTGTTCCTGAATATGGAACCGACGACATTTTATGGTTCCAAGGGTTGGAAATCCATGTAAAAGTTGATTTGACTTTTGTTTTGAACGTTTCCGTTACTTTTCAAATATATTTAAGACGTTACTATTCAAATAATTTTTGGGCGTTTTCTTTCAAATAATTTTTGACCGTTTTTTTCAAAGCCATTGTAAAATAATGATCTCAGTAATCTGAGAAAATAAATAAATCAGTTGAAAAACACGAACAAAAACATAAAGACGTGTTTCATTGAAAATCAAAAATAAATCATGCCGCAGTCGTATAAAAGTTTAGAGGAATTCAATGTTTAAGCTTCTTGGTCAAAAATTGAATGGGAACGATTTTCCACAGATTTCAGCTCGTATCTAATTGTTAACAAACTTGATGAAAAATCCGACAAGATCAAACTTAAATTATACACATTTAATGGGATATAAGTCAGTGGACATCGTCAAGAATCTACCCATGCTACGGACATTTCAGTGTCGAATTTTTTCGACATGTTTAAATTTAGTCGACCTAGCGTTTGAATATGTTAAAACCGTTAAAAATCTGTCAATTTTAAGATTTTAAGCATTAATATTTAAATTCCTGTATTCCTGGGATGATTTTAGCTAAACTTAGATAAACACGAAGCTGAGAATAAGAATCGTTTGCCCAAGCCTTGTTTTTGCCAGTGTTTGCAAGAAATTTTCATGAAAATTTAACGGTTTTTTGACATTCAAAGCAAAAAATAACGGACTTTTCGACGTGTCCGTAGCATGAATCTACCATTTATTGATCGAGAGAAGCAGAGTTATGAAAAAGTGTTTAAGGCTCTCACGAATCATTTTTCACCGTCATCAAACTTTCTTATTGAAATAATGAAACTACGTGGCTGTATTCAAGAGGAATGTGAATCAGTCGATGAATTTATTAGGGTCGTTTAAACTGGTTTAAACCCAAGCTGATAGCTGTGAATTTAATCAATTCAAATAAGAAGCCATTCGTGATCAAATCCTTTTCGGTCTGCACATCAACAATTTGCGAGAAAAGCTCATTTTCCCTCAAGAAAAGTCATTGCATACTTTGATTAGCAAAATCAAAATATATTATTACAATCAGCAACAATGAGCCCAAATAGCATCAGACAGTATCAATGTATAAATCATCTATCAGCAGTGGACCAACGTAACCTCAGCAAACTAACGTCGAATAAAAGTGAAAAAGCTCAAGTTAAAAGCAACAGCGTTGAGAATTTAATAGGCAAAAAGAGGAAGGAGAAGGTCTGTGCAGTTGAAGAACGCGAAAACTGTAAGTCTAATGTTATAGTCAATTGTGATGAACTTAAGGTACATGCAGAAAGCAATGTTTGGTGTAAAAAGTTACTCGTGCATGATAAAATGATCAATTTTAAGTTGGATACTGGATCGCAGGTTAATACTATTAGTATAGATATGTTTAAAAGCCTAGGAAAGAAATTTAAGATCGATAAGAGTAATTTAAAGTTACAAGGCTATTTTGGTGAAATTAATCACCCTATTGGGAAGACATTTCTTCCAATTAAAATAAATAATGATGTGTATCATGAGGAATTTATAATCATTGATATAAAAACGGTACCTTTATTAGGCTTAGAGTTCTGTGTAAATCTAAAACTCATATCTCGTATAGATTTATTGCAATTGAACCAATTGTTGTGTTCAGAAAAGCAAAAGAATAAGTTTACAGATTATTATGAAAAAACTTTTACAGGTCTAGAAAAGTTTGATAAACCTTTAAAATTAAAATTAAAAGATAATTCAATTCCCGTGGCTGAGACCGATAAATTCTAGTTTACAAACTTATGCTGTGCGATAGCACAGCTGATCGATGAAGACTTTCTTTGGTTAAATTCTAGTTTACAAACTTATGCTTATGATCGATAGCGCATCAAAAAGTATCCATCGGTCAGCTGAAAAACTTTTAAATCTAAATTTTTTTCTTTAGGTTGCAAAATTTGTCGAAATTATTAATTGCATATTAAAATCAGAAGTTTTATTTTAGAATGAAAATCTAAAATTATGAACTTTAAATTTTTAAAATCAGTATTTTTTATTTCAAAATACTTTATTTTAAAATTCTGAAAAAAGTTTTTAATAATTAAAAATTTTGCTTAAATTTAAGAACTTCTATTAGAATTGACGAACTTTAAAATTTAAAGTGGAAATTTTTATTTTTTTTTCTCTGAGTGGGTTTAATTAAAGAGTAAAATCGATTCTCCGAACGTCAACTTTATATCACGGACCATTTTTAAACTTTTAAATCACAAAATTCAAATAGTACTCTGCTCTTTGATTCTTATGTAAATCTATAAATAATACTTAAAAGAGTAATTATTTTTGATGATTTAAGACTGTTTTGAGCTTCAAAATCAAATGTATTTAAAAGATAGTAACAAAAATATTTTTAAATCTTATTTTTAAAACTTTACGATTCTGCAGAATTGCCTATATCCGCATTGGGTTTCTACCAGTCACACCAGTTTTCCAATAATTTCGCTAAAAATAACGTCTAAAAAATTATTGAAACTTAAAGAAAGTCTACAAAATTTAGAGCGTAGCTATTTTCCCTCATTTTTTAACGTACATTCTGTTCCAACGGAAATTATTAAAAACAAAATTAAAAAATTCATATTTAATTAAAATACAGAAAATGAGTAATTTAAAACCTGAAGGTGTTGAGACAGAAGGTATATTTATAGGTAAACCATCAAAACAAGATCTAATTAATTATTTTTTGAAACAACAAAGGTAAATAATTTTTAAAATATTCATTCTCACTGCATTTCAATCGGAAAATTTTATTATAATAGAATAGTAACGATAAAAAAAATGGAGGAAACTGAACGTGATAAATCACCTGATCTTAGCGAATCATTTGAAATATATCTTGAACAAAAAAAGAAAAAAATTGAAATCGAGAAGAACAAACTTGATGATCAACACATAAATGAAAGAGAATTCAAAACTATTAATACTCCCGGAGAAAAAAAAAATTTTATGAACTCGTCTACAAGATCAGTTCATAACGATTTATCATGTAACGATTCATTTATTGAACTCGAAAAAATGTGCGAAAACACTTTGAATCTAAACAATATATCAGAAGTTTTAGCAGATTTAACTTCAATAGAGCTGAAAATGGAATCAAATGACGGTGATTCAAAGAAAATAGACCATGTCGAAGAAACTAAATTACAAGAAATGGAGCGACCATCATTTTTTTTAAACAATAGTTCTTTAGTAAGTAATGGAGAGCAATCTTCTTTTAAAAATGATTATGATAATTTTTCAACGGTTTTGGAGGCCACAACAATGTCATTGTCATATAAAACAACTCACAGTCATTGTCCCAGTGTTATGTCGTCAGATAAAAGTGAATATTATCAAACAGCTAATGATAAAAGCTTTGAATTGATGAAAAATATTTCAAATGAGCATTCATTTGAGCTAAATAAACAACATAATGAATCAACGAGCTTAATATTTGAAAAGAAAAGAAATGATCAAGGTTTTCCACCATTAAATGATACTTTAGATGAAATTGACTTTTTACTGTCACAAGCACAAAAGCTTAATGATCAAAATGGGATGCAAAACGATATTCTTAAGAAAGCACAGATAAATGATTGTAAACTTCAGCATTCAAAGTCTCCTATTTTAGAAAATAGGCGAAGAGTAGTTCTTACACCGAAATCTTCCCCTTTAAGTTCCCCATTAATTAATTTCAAGCATCCAAAACCGGTTTCATCATCAAAAAACCCCCAATTTTCAAGGGTTAATAATAAAAAATTTCAACATATTGTAAGTCCTGTATCTCGTTATATTCAAACTTCTGAGTCTGTATTGAACGCTAATGCTCATCTAAACTACAAAGGTTTGGGAGCAAAACGACAATTTAATTTTCGTGACAGTGAGAATTTTAATCAAACTCATGATATTTCTGTAAAGGCTTCTTCGTTGCCTTTAAGGGCAAAAACAAACACTTTGAATTCACAGGTAAATAAATAATAATTTTTTTAAATTTATAGTTAATTTAAATTTTTATTTTTTTCTATTTCTTCTCCTTTCACAAGAAAATATCTGAAAAAGAAAAGCAAACAACTCAAAATAAATTTAAAATGAGTCCAATAATTGCAAGTAAAACAAAACTCGTGAATCTACCAAGAAATGCTACCAATTTTTCCGACAACACATTTAATGAGCAATAAATAAAAATCATAATAAATTGTGTAAAAACCCAGCTTTCATTGATATTTGTCAGCTTTCCTTAATATTTCTTCAAATGTATTTTTTAGATCAGAAATTTTATTCTCTTTTGTTTGTCTTCAAAAATCTTAATAAATTGTCCTATAAACATACTTGAATAAAAATAAGTTTAAAAACTTTTTTGTGTTGTAAGTTATTTGTTTTCAAACACAAATGAAAATGAAATTTGAAAAGTTACGAAAACATCAATCAATACAGATGCTGTAACTTCTGAAATTTTTAGTATAGCTTCAGTATAAAATTTTTATTCTTATAAGATATCTTTTTAAAAGCATTAGGGCAACTCCATGAAAAGATTTTTCTACAAAATTTTCTATAAATTGGTTGTTCTACTGCAAATAAGCTTTTCGTAGGCAAACTTTAAAAGAGGGTCATTCGCATTTTTTTGGAACTTTTTCGAATTGTGATACCAGGGTTATTTTTTTTCTTGTAGTGGACATCAAAACTGACTACTACACCAAATTTGAGTTCATTTGGTGCTATATTTGTCCCATATTTGAACTGAAATATCTCTACATTGGTTAAAGATATTAAAATGATTTTCCAAGGGTCAGACACTCCAACAGAATTGTAAGGATTGTACAATCCTTACAATCCTCCCATACGAATTGTGAGAATTATCTCTATTCTTTAAAAAAAATTATATTTAAAATGCACAATATATAGGCGCACAATAATTTACTGTGAATAAATTCGAATGATTTTTTATACATTTTTACTCATTAAAAAGCTGTAAAAAAGTATAATTTTTACACCTGTGACCAGGATGGGTGATTTAAATCAAAAATCAGAGATTTTGATCTAAATCATTTTTGTATGGATATTTTTTTTGGGATTTTGATTTAAATCTCTTGTATGAAAGATTTTATTGGGATTTAAAAATCCCTCGATGTAAAATTTTTGTATTCAATTTCTCAAATTATTTTTCAAATCATCAGTTTTCAGTTGCAGTTCCTAATAAGTAAGAATGCAGTTGATCCTTTTTTGGCCAGAATCTTGCAACTGGATCTTTTAGATCCAAGCATTTCTTAAATAATGGTTACAACAACCAATGGTTCCATGCTATTTGACTTAAACGAAATCCAATTCGTGATTTTTAATCTTCTGTGCCTTGCTGTACGAAAGGAACCGGCCAGTTTCGCAAAAAAAAATTTAGTTCAAGAGGTAAATCCTTGATGAAAAAGCAACAAAAAAATATTTGTAGATGTAAAAGAACTAGGCAGTTCAAGTGCCTATTCTTGCTCATGACTCATTAAACTAACGTACTATAATAAAAGATATTTAAGTTTTTAAAAGCATTGAAAGCAGGTAAAATCTTATAGCAAGTAAGATCCAGGCATGCTTGATGAAGTCTGGTTATTTATATGTAAAGAGCAAGGCACAGAAGATTAAAAATCACGAATTGGATTTCGTTTAAGTCAAACATCATGGAACCTTTGGTTGCTGTAACCTTTCTTTAAGAAATATTTGGATCTAAAAGATCCAGTTGCAAGATTCTGGCCAAAAAAGGATCAACTGCATTCTTACTTATTAGGAACTGCAACTGAAAACTGATGATTTGAAAAATAATTTGAGAAATTGAATAAAAAAATTTTATATGGAGGGATTTTAAAATCCCAATAAAATCGTAAATACAAGAGATTTAAATCAAAATCCCCTTTTAAAATCGTTGCAAAAAGATTTTGATTTTTGATTTAAATCACCCTGGTAATAAGTGAAAAAATTGATATATCAAGTTTATTTCGTTCTTTAAATTCAAACAAATAAATTTTTAATATTAAATTAATATTTCTTCTTTAATAACCTATGAAAAACATTTTTAAATGTTCCATAGAATTATTACATCCTTACAATCCTTATATGGAAAGGGTTGTAAGGATTACAATCCCTACAATCCTTTCCATATAAGGATTGCAAGGATTACAATCCCTACAATTCTTCTCATATAAAGATTGTAAGGATTGTAAGGATTGCACAATCTTTACAATCCTTCCATATGGATTGTGAAGAATTGTAGAATCTTTACAATTTTGTTGGAGTGTCTGACCCTTGTGATTTTCAGTTCCTTTTTTTGCCATCTGGGCAAATCCGCAAAATTATGAAACTGGCAAAAAGCGAGTTGTAATATTTCTCTACTTGGAAAAATTTGAAAAATAAAAACGCGTTACAATTTTTGAACAAAAATAAACATTATTTTATCAATTCTTTACTTTTTTAATTAATTAAGCAATTAATTAGTGTGTTCTCGTTAATAAAGCTTTATTCAAGCTGTAAGTCACTGCATAATTTAGATATTTCAATTGATTATGATCTTAACGTTTAATAACTTTTCAAAATTTATCGTGTTACGAAAAAATACTCTAAACCGATGTTTTGCAACAAAGTGTTCTTGCAGGAGAGATTGACGCTTTTTTCTTTAAAAAACAAATGTTTTCTTTAATTTCATATTACTGTGAAGGAATAATAAGCCAGAACTTTCATAGATCATTAAGAATAATTAATTCTTTACAAGTGATCTATTGAAATGTTACAACTCACCCAAATTAAGTGAAAAATTGAAAAAATATGTTTGAAAATTTTGTATTTTTTCACGGATTAAGACAAAAAAAAAGCTTCTTTATAACTCGATGACACAAGGAAATTTTTCAAAGAATTGAAATATTTCATTAATTACTGACTTAATGCACACAAAAAAGCAACCTAATTAAAGATTTTTGTCTGTTCTATAACTCAGTAAAAGTTATTCAATGTGGATTTCAATAGTTTTCTCTAATCTTCGATTCTTTGGATGATGAAAATTGAAAATTCCGATTTCTGTCATCGAGTTATTGACAAAAGAATCCAAATAACTTAATTAATACAGCGATTAGAAGTATATGATATCAAAAGGAGTGTACATTTTATATTTTTACATCGATAAGAATCATAAAATCAGTGCCTCTGATAAGAAAAATCAATAAAATTTCGATTTTTTGCTGAAAATTTTCCGAAAGTCATTCAAAGAATTGCCCTTAAGAGCTTTATTTTGATGTATTACAAGGTTTTTTGATTTATAGTTTTGCTATCGCTCTGAATTCTGGTTTTCAAAGCTGTATTCACCTTTGGCAGAATTGGATGCAAAATAAAATTATTTTGATTTTCGAATATTTTGAAGTCATCGATATTTCGCAAAAATCAAAATTTCTTATAAAAATTACAAAACACTCAATACAAATAATTTTTCTGGAGTTTTCAATACTTAACGTTATTTAAGGGCAATTCTTTGGATGACTTTCGGAAAATTTTCAGCAAAAAATCGAAATTTTATTGATTTTTCCCATCAGAGGCACTGATTTTATGATTCTTATCGATGTAAAAATATAAAATGTACACTCCTTTTGATATCATATACTTCTAATCGCTGTATTAATTAAGTTATTTGGATTCTTTTGTCAATAACTCGATGACAGAAATCGGAATTTTCAATTTTCATCATCCAAAGAATCGAAGATTAGAGAAAACTATTGAAATTAACATTGAATAACTTTTACTGAGTTATAGAACAGACAAAAATCTTTAATTAGGTTGCTTTTTTGTGTGCATTAAGTCAGTAATTAATGAAATATTTCAATTCTTTGAAAAATTTCCTTGTGTCATCGAGTTATAAAGAAGCTTTTTTTTTGTCTTAATCCGTGAAAAAATACAAAATTTTCAAACATATTTTTTCAATTTTTCACTTAATTTGGGTGAGTTGTAACATTTCAATAGATCACTTGTAAAGAATTAATTATGCTTAATGATCTACGAAAGTTCTGGCTTATTATTCCTTCACAGTAATGGGCGATTCCACGGATGAATTTTTAAAAAAAAAACCGACTTTGAATCAAATTTTCTCTCAAACAAATGACTTTATAGCTCCAGTCTTAACACTTACTTATGGGCAGTTCCATGAAACGATTTGTCTACAAATTTTTCTCCAAATTGATTTTTACATCTTTAGACTATTCTACTGCAAATAAGCTTTTCGTAGGTCATTTAAAACATCATTTTCTATTTAATTGACTGAAATTTGCTTACTTAAAGTGGTTAATTAAAGAATTATTTCAATTCTTTTGGCGTTACTTAGTAACACAATCGAAGAAAAAATAATTTGGAGACTCACTCAAAGCGATTTTTCTTTCCTATTCGCAGTTTGTTAATAATAAAGACTGTCACAACTCAAAGATTGATTATCAAGCTACCAAAATCTAGCATTAAATTAACTCAAAAGTGCTTAATTAAGCTACAATTTTAATTTCAATGTGACTTAAAAAGATGTTACTAAGTAACGAAGAGATTTATTCCGTGAAACAATACAGAATTCAAAATTTTAAAATTCTATTTTCTCAATGTATTTTTCATTAAAGTAATGTTCAACTAATTAGAATTACTCATTTTAGGATGAAAAACAGTTTAAGTTGAGTAAAACATTAAGAAAATAAGAGTACAAAGAAATATTTGAAAAATAATAACTCAAAGCTTTACTGTTGAAACCCATCCTCAACATTTTGGTCCTTCGAACAAGTAGATAAAAATAAAATCAGTGAAATACAGTCCAAAGTTTGGACTCCAAACACAGAAATAAAGTGAAAAAATAAATCACAGAAATTTAAAAATTTCAACATAGTATCTGAAGCTAAAATTCAACACTTGCTAAGGGCAGCAAAAACGATTTTTGGAGAAAAAGTATCTGGAGCTAAAATCCAAACTGTGAGCTGAGGGCAGCTACAACTTACAATTTACAAATTTAATCACTCGCTGAAAGCAGCAAAGAGTAGAAATTCAACCGAAAAAAGTGCTGAGAGCAGCAACGCATAGGAAAATTTATTTCAAAATTCTGGCGTTTCTGGAAGCCACAAAAAACGGATTTTAAGTTTATGTTCATCAAAACCTTTTTATTTATTTTAATTTCTTTTAATTTTAAATTTTAAGTTTTAATTCTTAGCTAAAATTTTAGTTTTTTTCATTTGTTTTAGTGCAATTCATCTTCTCATTGGACATAAGCGATCGAAAAGTGTATCGTCAACAAAAAATTATATGTGACAGTGAGTAACAGAAAAAAGTGCTAACTTGCAAAATATTGGTAATAAGTCTTGAACTTGAAATTACATAAATTGCGTGGTGTTATAAAACTAGGTCAATAAAAAATATTCTCTTGTTGGGGAGAA